GTTGTACATCGAGGGGGTCCTTACTAATGAAGATGACAAGTACACTGGAAAATTAAGGTTTATTAACAATGGAATTGCTTTTCTCTTTAGAGAGATCCGGTACGAACTTAATGGCGTCACCTTGGACGCAGTCAGGAACGTTGGTTTGGCATCAACATTAAAAGCCTATCTTTCCTATAATACCAACGAAAGTATAAAACTTCAAAATGCAGGATGGTTTCCCAATCGAAATGCAAGTGACAGAATTATGGTCGACGATCACGGAAAATCTATTCCGTTGAAAATGCTATCAGGATTCTTCGAAGATTATCAAAAAATTGTATTGAATATGAAGCAAGAGTTAGTTTTAATACGAGCAACGATTTAGATGCGGTCTTTTTTTTAGACGATAATGAACCAAAAACCACAACTCCCGAAATACCTAAAGTTTCGCTTAAAAAGATATATTGGAAAATCCCAAAAATAATGACAAATATTGCAGAAGAACTTGTTTTAACGAAAATCATGGAGTCTAATAAAGGGATAACAATCGGTTTCAGATCATTAGAAATTATTGAATATTCATCTCTGCCTGAAACCACAACTCACACGTGGCCCGTGAAAACAACAAATAAACTAGAAACTCCGCGTCATATCATTATCGCCTTCCATGAAAATAGGAAAGGTCGAGTAGAAAAGGATATGAGTCAATTTGATGACGTCGATTTAACTAATATAAAAGTATTTTTAAATTCGGAACGATATCCGTACCATGATTTAAACCTAAATTGTAAAGAGAACAAGTATTCGACTCTGTATGATATGTTTGCTAATTTTAGACACTCTTATTACGGGACGTCCAATGAGCCAATTTTCACACCGCAGCACTTCAAAGAAAAATGTCCCATTACACACATAGATTGTTCTCATCAAAGAGAGTCTCTACAAACTGGTTCCGTGGTAAAGCGAATTGAATTTGAAACTAGCACTAATATCAAGAAGGATACATCGGTTTATTGTCTCATTTTACATGACAAAGTATTTAGTTACAATCCGCTAACTAAAATAGTAAAACAAATGTAACGGATTTTAAAAACCCGATTCGCAGATATTCAAAAAATTTGCCATAAATATCAGGCGAAACAGTACATTTTTGACAGTTGTCATCATGCGGATCGTGGCACTAGATATACAAGGGTTTAATCTGAAAGACGGTGAAGGTTTCGTCGCTAAAGAAATTGCAATTTATCAAATGGCCCACTACATAATGAAGCCGCCGAGAGATTTTTTAACGTTGACTCATGCTGATAAGCGAAGCGTACGTTGGCTCGAGCGTTTTCACCACGGATTAAAATATAGTACAGGTCTTATAGACTATAACTTTATCGACGAATTGGTTAGGCGTTTGGTTGAAACCGTGGACATTATATACCTCAGAGGGCAACCGAAAATTGATTTTTTGACTTCGAAGATCCAACAACTACAGCTACACCTTCCTTTAATTGTTAATATCGAAAAATTCGACGACAGTTGGCTGATACCGCTCAAATTTGAATTGGATCGACCTCAGTGCACCTTTCATATGAATGGTGGATTACGCATGTGTGCCTTACGAAACTCTGTATTATTATTCAATTGGTTATATGCTAAAATTCCTATATGAAAATGACAATAAAAAGATGTGCTTTCAAAATTTGCAATTTTATTTTGAGCGGCAACATATAAAACAGACTAACGCAAAGCGAGCAAATCAAAATTAATTCTCAAGTGTTAAGTGATGAATCGCCCCATAAGCAACGTCGATGAGCTTCCCGCGGAATACCTAATCAAATACGTGAGATCCTACGACTTGCTGGCTATATGGCATAGGTTATCCGACAAGCAGAAAAACAATTTCGACCTGCAGACTCATTTGCCTTGTTTTATTCACTATAATCGATCGGATAGTAGAACTCATATCGACGGACCCGTGCCTCCACAAAATAAATGTCCGCATTGTTTGAGTGTTATAAAAAGTAGTTCATTGATTTAAATCGCCTCAATATAGTGAGAAAGATGGCTTTGTTAAGAGCTTAATATGTTTTATTAACAGCGGTAGTGCAAAATATGTTCTACTTAAATAAACCCAATGGGGTTATCGAAGCGTACGTTTGTTTTAAAAATAACAATATCAGTGACGTTTGGCCGGAAGAATGGAGTCAGCTGTATCCCATGACAGTTAACGGTAACGATAAGCTACACATTTTTGGAGCAAGGTTACCAAACGTTACCGCTCAGTATCTAAATTACAAAGTCCGTTTGGTTTTCTTTGATCGCAGTTTCGGCGACCACGGCGAATGGCAAACGATTGCTTTCAATAATAGCAGCTATCGCAGTGATAAGGACGAAAATTTTGGGACAGACCTCCAAAAGGTTTTGATTCTACTGTATATAGTGACGGGTGCTTGTTTCCTATTACTATCAAAGTGCTTATACAAGTTGACAAAAATTCATTGCTCCGCTCATCTTCGCAAGTAGGGATATGTGGATGTATAAATTGTTCGCATATATTCCAAAACTCTTAAATCGATTGTGACTCGAAAAGTGTACTTAACGCAGCCAAAAAAAAAATTAAAATGGCCACTGATGTTGTTAGGATTGACGAAAATATGCTGTTTGAAATTTACAACACTGGCGTTCGTTTCACCAACAGGGACGAACATACGGATTTTCAACTAGAAGAGTTCTGGGATTTTCTCAATTTTCTAAACGAAGAAGTAGGAGAACATCTAAAGTGGAACGACGTTTCAGCACACATCGGTGACGACATCGAGGTGATGTATTGGAACGAAGAAGAGCTTTGTGATTTGAGGCTATTAAAAAATGGACGGTCGCAAATTTTTCTCGAAAGAGAAGATATTGAAAAAATTATGTCAAAAAGGCACAGTATTTTTAAAGCTATGAATTTATACCGAGATGTAAATATATATAATCAATAAATAATTTTATTAGTAACACGTATTTGGTTTATGTCATTTTTCATTTAATTCCTAAACATATACTGGTCTATAATTTATTTCTGTCTGACCGCAAAACAACATACACCACCAACTTACTTTAAGTCAAAAAAGGGACCTGGCTAACTCAACTTGCCATTTGTTAGCGATATTTCATAAAAATGTTACGTCATAAATTTTATCGGTGCACATTTATTTAATTTAATTATATTTTACGCGACCTCGACGACCTTTTATTATATTTATGCGGAACCAGAACAATGCAATTTCGCGCAAAGTAGCTAACCTCGGGGTCACACTTGATGAATTTAAACAAAATTTCATCACATTAGCAAATATGGAATATCAATGCTTTATTTACGTATAATGTTTTTTATCGTTATCAGATAGATTGTAAGTTAATAAAAATGTGTTTATTGAATTCGCGCATTTCTAATATTTCCCTGATTAACAAATTTAAACATATCGGATGTCAATACTTCGTAAATGTTGTCAATAAATTATTATATTTTAAGCGACCTCGACGACCTTTTATTAGTTGAATTCTCTTATCGTCGCCGCCGCCGCGAAATCGTCGTCGGCTAGGCTCCGCTAGGCTCGACTAACGTAGCGCGCGAAACGGGTCACCGGGCATAAACGACACACATCCACGTGTCGGCCGAGTTAGGCTATAGGAACAGCGCGTCAGCGGCGCTTACACCCGAAGGTTCGAGGTTCGAATCCCCCGACCGCGCGCGACACACCGGTCGCTTTTTTCACCTCGCGCAAAAATACGTCAAGACAAAAAGGCACTAACGCAAAAACTACCCCTAGCGGGGCGAAATTGCCAAAAAGGCACTAACGCGAAAACTACCCCCTACCCCCCATTAAGGGTGACATCTGGCGATTGAAACCTGAGCTCTTAATGGGCGGCGACATCTCTCGTAGAATGGTCAAACCAATTTATTTTTTTTCGGTTGCTTGGGAATCTGTAAATTTTCAATCACAAAATCTCCCCCGGGGGACGGGGGATGGTGAAGTAACGAATAATAACTACTGAAATAGAAACGAATAATAATCTCCAATTCTTATATGTTCCTATCAATAGAAAATTAGTCCTAACGTTGGGTCATTCTGTTTACAGAAAAGCTACTCCCAACCACCGTCAAAAAATCATCGGATATCAACACTCTGAACACTGAAGCCAGAATTACATCTGCTCTTCTCTCTAATAATTTTCACATTAAAGATATTAAGCGTTCCATTATAAAATATACTTCAACACAACCTTCCTAAAACAATCAGTCCGGAAGCAACCCCACACTTGCCATTGTTGTTGTTTCTTACATTCAAAACATCACTCACCACATGTCAAAAGTTCTTAAGAAATATAACTCCAAAACCAGATTTACCGATTAACCAAAAATCTCTCAAGATCTTCGATCCGTCAAAGACAAAATTCCGCAGACAGCAGGAGTTTACAGCATTCCATGCATATGCCGCAAAGAGTACATTGAAGAGACCGGACGAAAAATATCAACTGTGCTCAGAAAATATGAGGGAACATTAAAACTAGTACAAATATATTCATCAGGAGTTGCCCAACAAATAACGAACCCGGACATCAAATCTTATTTATAAAACCTAAAATTCTTGCATGTAATCAATTCTTCTACCAAAGAAAAATCCGAGAATCTATGGAAATCTATAAACAACCAAACAATTCTAACCGCAACTCAGGCTTTACCGTTCATCAATATGGGATTCAGTCATCCCAGACAATGTTTATGTCCCTCCTCTCGTTCCGCCCCTCTCAAACAGGAAGTGTAGAGTAGAATACGATCTCCAGCTATAGGTTATTATAGGCTAATTAATAAATAAATATTTTTATTTTTAATGTAATGTATTACCAAGGATACAATTTTATGTTTTCTCTTAGCCAAATATTAAAAGTTACTATTTAGTCGGAAATGGTTGAAAAATTGAAAAAGCTTCCTCATTGCTACGTTGATTCACCCGTGACTCCCAATCTTTTGCTCCTTCCAGGTAGAGAAATAATGCAGTCCGAAATAGGGTTCCACGCTGCGAAATATCTAGCGTTTTTGTCTTGCACGACGTACGTTGGAGAAAAATTTACCAGTTTCCTAAAAAGTCACGAGGATTTGATCGGGATCACCGACGGTTACGTTGCGCTGGGCGGAGGTGGCTTGGCTTTGTTCGGGACGGCTTGTTTGTACACTTGGCCTGAATATTTCGACGAAGTCGCTGCTCGCTTTGAGGATAACGCTCTGGTGGACAGGACGGCATTCTTGGACGACAGCTGTTACAGGTATTTGTTGCTCCGCGGCTTCTTGTCTTTGAAGAGCCCGAAGTAAAAATTATGTTCCTGGATCTCCCATGTTTCCCGATGTTCCATCCAATCGGAATTCTTTTTGTTTTATTTTTCCTCTTTAATTTTTGATCATTCGGGAATTTTTATGTCGAGCAAATTGAAATTAGTGATTAAACGATATTTCGTCAGACAGTTTGGATTCAGACAGGGAGTTTCTAGGGACGATCGTATATGAGGCAAATAATATACATAGCGCCCCACAAAAACAAAGCCATTTGATCTGCGTTTTTAGATTTACCTCGTGCATTTGTTAGGGTGGATCTTAATACTGATTAACATTCTCGAGGGTCTTGGATTTAGAGGCATCTTCTTCATCTAGTGTCTATTCTTTATAAATGTACAGTCGTCATTCTCGTTCACTGGCTGATAGTTTTCAGCTACGATGTTCGTCGTCGACTTTGACATCTTCAACCGTCTACTTTGTCCTGCAAGATTAGTTGGATAAATTGATATTTCTCATTACGCATCACATGCTCAAGGGAAGCCATCCTCAGTTTCACACTATGTATGACTTCGAGTTACTTTTGCATTCGTTGGGGCATGGAGTATTTGTGACATAGTATGATGATCAGGATCATGCGGTATAGGAGAATGGAGAATACATAACATCTTAGGACCCTTCTTCTTATACCTAGTAATATTCAGGTCCATGTTACATAGGACTTTTCCGATGCGGTTAAAAACGTTTCTGGTTCCCGTGTTCCGTTGTTCAGGCCGCATCCCAAGTACGTTATTTTATCTGTTGTTTACAAGATTTGCCCTTAACAGGTGGCATTGTACCTCATCGTTTTTACTAGCAAGAATTTTGGTCTTCCTGTAGTTGATCCTCATACCATACATTTCTATACCTTAAATTATTGATGGTCGCTCCATTGATCTTAATTCCTTCCTTTGTTTCACTAAACGCTTGTCTAAACAGTATTCGGAGTAAGTATCGAACAGAATAGTATAGGTGATAGTATTCATCCCTGGCGTACTCCCCGGTTAACTGTAAATTCTTGGGAGGTACGCACAGTCGCTCTCTGGTGCAAATACAGATCAGTGATGAAGCGCAAGTCTTTGCCGTCGATACCAGACTCCATTAGTATTTCAAATAATTTGTGGTGTTGCACCTTGTCAAACGCCTTCTCATAGTCGATAAAACAAGCGTAGACATCGCAATTTACGTCCCTGGCCCTCTGGACCTGAATAGAAAACAGGGCCTATCGCGTTCCCATTTCAGTACATGACTCATCAGACTTATAATTCGGTAATCAGAGCAACTAGTAGCATTTGCTTTCTTAGACAGGGGAATAAATTTGGAAACCAGCCAGTCTCTAGGGAATTGTCCCGTTTCATGTTTTCAAGTAGTGTTGTCAGTTGGTTAATTTGGGAGTGTTCCAAAAGTTTTATAATCTCTTCCTAAACATTGACCGGTCCGGTTGCTTTATTGTTTTTTAGTCGTGTTATGGCGTGCCTCACTTCGTCGAGTGTTACTTGTGGGCCTGAGTCAGCATGGGATAGTGGTTTCGGCCCGTTGTACTTCCTCGAACAGCTCTCCCATGTATTCTCTCCACCTTTCCAATATTCTTTCGTTGTCAGTTATAGGATTACTTTGTTTATAGGAATCAGTTATTACTGCCTAAACTAGTCCTTTCTGCCATAGTCTTGATTTTCTTGTGCAGGTTGAAGGTGTCATGCTTCAATTTCCCTACATCCGTTCTGTAACCATTACATCCTTGATCTTTTTGTTGATTTTGTTATTTATTTCTTTGTACCTTTCTATTCCTATGTTTTTTGTCGTTCCTAAATAGGATTCAGAGTCTCCTCAGTCATCCATTACTGCTTTTTTGTTCTTTTTTCGGGTTTTAGTTTATTATCTGCTACACGGCAACAGACATTTTTTATTTTTCCCCACGTGTCTTCTACATCCATGTCTTCCTTTTTGTGTTGTCCTTCAGCTTCTGGATGTCTAGATTATTTTAAGTTTTTTTTTTACGGATTTTCTTTATACGTATTTTAATTTTGCTAAGCAGAAGGTTACAGTCTGACAGGATGTCCGCTCCTGGGTACGTCTTTAAGGATTTAAGGAGTTTTGGAATCTTTTGTTTATGAGGGTAAAATCAATCTGATTTCTAACGACTTTTTGGGACGAATAAGCTGGAAATTTCCATGTGGAGAGCCGGCGAGGCGATAGTTCAAAAAACGTGTTCGTTATTACTCTGTCTGTTTCTTGAGAAAACTGGATTAGGCGGTCTCCCCTATCATTTTTTATCCCCAGTCCAAAATTTCCCACAACACCTCTCCTGTTTCTTGGTGCATTTCAGGGCTGTCCGTAGTTCTTCGTACAGGTTGGAGCGTATGACTGCATAATCTTTATATTAAAAGGTTTGGCATTAATTTTAAGGAGTGCCACTCTGTTTGATATGCCCGTAAAATTAATGACACAGTTTTTTTGCTTTTTTACCATTCTTGTTTTGTTTTGTTATATCTACACAATGATATACATTATAATAATCGATCTTACAGTGACCCGAATTGGGCCATCTGACTTCGTGTTAGGCAACCGAGGGATTTTTCGCACCCTCTCCGCACTTAAGGGGTGCCCGGTACTAAAGACCTTTTTTGAATAGCATTGATCCATCATGATTGTCTTGGGGAAGAATTTAGCCAGGTACTTTCCCCTTGCATCGGGAAAACTTTAATCGGATCTTATCTCATGTACAATATCTAAAAATAGAATACGTTTTAAGCGAGCCCCGCAAAGTTGAGTTTGGAGTCCCTCAAGTGATTGTTCTTGATCCGATATTGTTTTTGCAGCATAGTTAACCCAAAACTAACATGATTGTTACGGGCTCGATTTTGGAGAGAAGTCAAAAACTGAAAACCATATCGTGATATGTCAAGGCGTTTTTGAGCTACAGGGTGATTCTCAAAAATGTGCGATTTTAAAGGCCCTCAAAATCTTTTTTAATTGAAAGATTCGAGTTTCGGGAAAAAACATTTTTTTAAGTTTTGTTAAGCGGGAATCTCTTCTCTATTTTACCCGTTTTGTATTAGAGCCTGTAGTTTCCCAGATGTCACACAAAGTTATAACCCCTTTTTTTTTAATAATTTTCTAAAAAAATTTCCTGTCGACCGATGTGCCATACACCTTTTTTTTATTAAATAATTTAAAAGATATTCGCAGTTTTTGATATTTACCGTAGTAGTTTTTTTTTTATACAAAATCAAGTTGGCTACGACACGAGGGGACACAGCAACCTCGCACTTCTAGTTGACAATAATTACCAATCAAAAATGTAAAACAGTGTGATTTGTTTTTAAATTTTCATAAATGTATTGCCGCACGCTTTGGAAAAGAGATGTATTAAATATAACTTAATTTTATATCAACATTATATATTTTTTTATAGATATTTCATAACATATAACATAAAATATTTAATAATTAATAATTTTTTAGATATTTATACCAAGCGGAATCAAATTGGCTTATAAAAAAATAAACATTTCTTTTTTCAAAAAGACAAAACACATTAGAAAAAAACTGAATACGCCATTGCATTCCGATATTTCATATGAGGGGTGACCTAAAATTTCAAATTTTTAAAACCACCATGTGTTTTAAAACGTATGCAAATCGTGAAGATTTTGTTAACTTCATCTTTCGTTTCACAAAAAAGTACTAAAGATTTGCAAAAACTGCACTAACAACGGTCATTCCTGACCAAAATAATATTTTGGTTTTAACGGTTAAGATGATTAATTTAATTTATTGATTAGTTAATATATATTTTTATTATTTTTTTTACAGTCCAATGTAATAAAATACTCAGAAGTTATTTTTATGATAATCTAAAGTCAGGATATAAATAGTTTCGTATTTTTGAATCATGGCCTTCGTAAAAATAATTTAGACAATAGTCCTGAAATGGACAAGTAGTTGTCTGGCTCACATAATTTCAATGGAGAACCACCCCACCACCCTCTTCAAATCTTCTATAGTAATCGGCAATTAAAAAGGACCACAGACTGTAATAGATTGGCATTTTCGTTCTAACTACTATCGTGGTGTAAGTCGCCTTTATTTTCCAGAGGAACGATAGGAGGGTGTTTTTCAACGACCTTGGGCTCTGTCCTGCACGAGCTCTACCATACTTTCGATCTAGGTCACACCGAGGTCGGCGTTATGGCTAGAGGATTCGACAACATCTACAAATTTTTCACCACCGACGAGAAAACCGCTTCGAGCGACGTTTCCAAAGGTTTCCAGCATCAAATTCAGTTCAAGGAAGAGTTCGAGGCCTCCAAACTATCCGAGAGGCTGGAGAAAGCGAACAAAAAGAAAGAATTTCGGGTTATTAGGAAGTTCGATGCTGGCGACGACACCTTCTTGACTAAAAGCTGCGCCGTGATACTAAGTTACCACAAGTACGTTCCACTTAGGGTTTCTGAAAATGTTTTTTAACTTGGAAGTTGACTAACTACTTCGTTAATTTAACCTGTAGTTTAAATTTTATCGGGTTTCTGAACAGGAGTTAATTTAACCTCACAATAGATTGGGTTATGCACTAACACTTAAGGTAGGTGGTCCGCACTTTCGATTTAATATTCATTGGGAATATAAAGTTATTAATGCACCCGCTTTTAAGTATACAACGTGAATAAAATATTTATTAGAAAAATAATGCACTTTTGTCCTATCTAGTGGGGTAAATATCCGCAATATCTCAGAACCGATTTAATTTTAAAAATTTCGTCATAATTTTTAACTTTAATTTATACAAAAAAACATCTCGTAATTTAAGTCAGTCTTAAAAACTAAGAAAAAATCGCAAAAATAGAAAAAATCATAGGATTAGGTACAAAATCTTTAAATCTAGCGGAAGTGCCTTGCAATGACTTGAAAAGTTTCCTTACAATGTCGAATTTGTCGACACAAAACTCTACTTCGGTTTCTGTGAAGCGCATTGTGCTGGTATTCTTTTATAATAAACTCCATCGTCTATCTTTGCTGTAATATCCACTTCATAAAGTCGAAAGAGATAAAAGTCGCTGGGATTCAAATCAGGTGAGAAGCTGCTTCATTCGAAATGACTTTCAGAAAAATTGTAATCACACTGCTCCTACCGTGAAGTGATAGTTTCGACTCTGAATCAGAGGAGTATTGGTTTTCTGTTTTTTCCAATAAACTTTTTTGTTATTGTCTTATTTTCTTTTTCATTAAACACGTTTCTCTTGACACTTTCCCTCCTTTTTCTTCTACATTTTTTTAAAATTGTTTTTTAATAGGAGTTGAGGTAAGGTGAGGTAAGGAGTGTAAACTTTAATCCTTTTCTTAATCGTTTTCTATTTTTTGCGAGTCCTGGTAATGGTGGTAACGGATGATCACTTTAATGTACCAGACAAATGTTCTCGAGAACATCCGGGACTCAGGATTATGTGAAACATCAGTGGTATCTGAGACATTGCCGACTTTTTCTATCTCGATATTTTCCCCAGGCACATATTCTTCGAGATTTTCAATAGGCTCCTCAATTTTTATTTCGCTATTTTGCTGTCTTTCACAACTTCTCAACGGGATGGATAGCTTCTTGCTCGTTATTTTCCGGAGAGATGTTTTTCTCATCACTATTTCGCTCACTACTCTAAAGACAACCCTGCATGTTCCTGTTATTTCTAATCAAGATCATCTAACTCTTCTGCATCTTTCTCTTGTTCTGTAACTGAGGAAGGAAGGAAGGAAGGAAGGTAGAAAATTGTATGCGGGTCATTGCCCTAACGAACGTGCGGATTTTTGCCCCAAACGTTGTCTTAAGTTTTAGCAAGGCGTCGTTTAAAAAATTGCTCTTAAGAAATAGAGGTTCAGGTTAAATCAAAAAAAATTTGAAAAAATTTTGATGCTGACTCAATATTTTCTGAAATATTTAACAAAATTAGATCAGAAAACAATGTCGCACATCACACGTGAACTTCGAAGTTAATTTAAATTTTCAATTTAAAATTAAAAAATCTGGTAGAATTGGTGACAGATCCATATAAAACAACACTTGAGAATATACGATGCAGTTATTACTGGGCAAAAAATAGCCTCGCTAGAAATTGCCCAAATATTTAATGCTCAGAATAAAATAGGCGCCAAGTAATCTTTCTCTTCACAAGGTAAATGCTTAATTGTTAAATTGAACACAGTTTGTTGTGCCAAAATCAACCTTTCATATAAGCTAAATTATGAACATTACTATCTATATAGGGTGTTTGCTAATTGAATATCAATAATTAAGGGGGCGATTTTTGGCTCCATTTTAAAAACAAACCTTCATATGAACATAGGTCCTAAACACTGAGGTAAAGTATTTTAATGAAATTTGGCACACACGTACTATGTATGATGAGGCATTATGTAGTTTACCACATTTTTTTAAAAATACGTCAGTGGCGAGCGTATTTAAAAATACGTCAGTGGCGAGCGTATGGAATTTCAACTGTTTATTTTGGCAGACATTGATAGTACACCGCCGATTATCTTACAATCTCCAATAATTTCTAAAAAAAAATCATTTCTTGATTTTTTTTCAGTCCGATGTACGGTTTTCATTAAAAAAAATAGAAACCTCTTCTCTGCTTGGTCATAACAATATCGGTAATATGCATGCGGAGAATTATTATCAATTATTTATTATAATTATCGTTTCTTAAATAATTGTCCATCTGTTCTATTAAAATACTTCAAAAAATCGAAGTACCTAAACTCAGAGGTGTATTTTTGAAATATTTATAATTATTTCTTATCATTGTAGTAGGCTGTGATTGTAAGAATCATTAATGCTGTTGCCAAGGCAGTTGTTTAACAGTTGTTAGCAGAGCGCTTTCCAGATAGGCGAACCTTTTCAAATGTACATAAAAGGGTGACTGAAACAGGTAATTTGAGGGCAAATAATCATTTAAATAGGGTAGGGAGGTAGCACTCTATTACGATCCCGGACGATCTCCTCCAGGAAGGAGCAGGTCACTTACTCTCATCCTATTGGTATTGGTATTGGTATTGGTATTAAAGGGGGGCGCCCTCGCGGGCGTCCAAGCACTTAGGCCACCAGATGGGCCCGTTGTGCCCCCAGGCCGCTCTAGAGGGCGTCCAGAATGCCGCCCCTCCTGTAGAAGGTCAGCAACTCCTTTAGCCCAATACCGTGCACTGAGTCCGGATCGATCAGGGCCGTTCCGAAGACTCCCAATCTTGCCCATGTCAAGGCAGGGCACTCGGTGAGCAGATGATACGGGGTCTCCTCCCCTTCCATGCACCACCTACACTCCGGGTCGTCTCCAATGCCTAGCAAGCAGAGATGCCTCCTAAGCCTGCAATGTCCTGTGTAGGCCCCTGTTAGTGCTCTACACTCCCTCCTGGTCAGTCTAAGCAGCTCCCTGGTCCGAGGAAGGGCGGGCCCATCCATCATAAGCCTCGCCTGCCTCATTCCCGGAGCAACTCTCCAGCCCCGCGCTCCCCAAGCGGGGCTCTGGCCCTATATGCCTATGCGAGGAGCCCTCCCTGGCTAAGGCGTCCGCTGCCTCATTGCCCCGGACACCGGTGTGACCCGGGACCCAGACCAACGTGACCTTTCTCTCCTCAGCCACCCTCCTCAGTACCCCTTTGCACTCCTTTATCAACAAGGAGCGCGTACGCACTGACTTCAGCGCCATGAGTGCAGCCCTACTATCCGAGCAGAAGAAGACTCTCCTGCTTCCGTAGTTGAGCCGAAGCACCTCTCTGGCCGCCATCAATAAAGCGAAAATTTCCGCCTGAAACACAGTGCAGTACTGACCCAGAGGGACCGACAAGCTTGATCCCGTACTCTCATCCTATTCCACCAATTATAATATCCTTACACATCGCAAACTCCTTGATGTTGGGAAGCAGCTACGTCAATCAAGACCATCGAAAAATAATTTCCCTAAGGACTTGATACTAAACACCTATAGGCGACTATCAAATCTTGATTACATCAGCTATGATACTGCGATACAGAAAGCAAACGGAAAACTACTGTGTTAATAATTCCAAACAATCTCTATGGCTCACGAAAATATAAACATGGTCCTCAAGAAAACAGAAGTCAACTATATAACAAAACAATACACATAGCTACATGGAACGTCCAAACATTGCACTTCACGGGGAAACTAGTGAATGTTGAAAAAACAAGAAAACGTCTAAGCGAAGTTAGATGGACTGACACTGGCTAACCAAAGACTGATATACAAGGACAAATATACTACTCGGCAGTTGCTATCATACAGTGATAGCAACTGCTGTGTTGCAATTAAGAACAGCCCATAGAACAATGAACATTATTCAGGTTAATGCTCCAACATGCGATAGCTCAGAATAGGAGACACAAAGGTTCTACGACGAACTAGAAGAAATAACGAAACTGGTGAAAAAGGGTGAAGTGACTGTCATTATGGGTGATTTCAGCTCTAAAGTTGGATAGGGAACGGATAATGAAATAGTCGGACAATATGGTCTTGTGCAGAGAATAGTCTCATCATCAGCAACACATTCTTCAAAGTGCCACCCAGATGACTCTATACATGGAGGTCACCTAGCAATAGAACCAGAAACCTGATAAATTTCATACTTGTTAAAAAGGATATGAAGAAATTCGTAAAAGCAGTAAAAACATACCCGGGAGCGGATGCATCCGAGGTTTGGATAATAATCCTGTGCTGATGTCAATGCACAGATTTAAAAAAATCATTAGGTAACAAATAGCAAACCCTATCGATATAAAGATGCAATAAGAAATTTCCACAATTATCGTATTTTGAGCCGGTGAAAACCCCATGCAGTTATAAAATTTAAACATCAGAAAATTTTTGGGTAAATGTTTGGGCTGGAATTATTTTATATTGGTTAATTGGACCCTTTTTCCTGGAAATAAGGCTAAATGACCTTAATTATCGCCTGTTTTTAGAAGATGATTTGGGCAATATTTCTAGAAGAAGTACCACATCTAATTAGAAAAGGAATATAGTTCGTGAATATTTAAACCACACATTTAACAACCGATGCGTATGTCGCGGCGAACCACAACCATGGCCCCCTCGGTCCCCAGATTTAAATATTTTGGACTTTGTTTTATGGGGGCATTTTAAAAGTCTGGTTTTTTGCACTCCTGTTAACACTGTAGAAGATTTAAAGAATATTATAAAAGTTTCCTGTAATTTAATAACACTGCAAGTATACCTCAAAGAGTGCGCAGCAATATGAGCGTGTGCAATCTGAAGCTTGTATCTTTCAAGGTGGAGGACACTTTCAACAACTTATCTAGTTTCTATGTTCTACTTTTTTTTAAGTTTGTTATTAACAGAAATTATTGTTAGAAATTATTAATTGTGGGTAGTGTTTTTTCATAAATAAGGATCGTTTATTATTTATCTTGTTAGAATGTTATGTTATTTCATTAAAACTGTAAAAGTATTTTTTTTTCTGAAAGACACTAGTTGGTAACTAAAGATGTAATGTTTCGTTACAATTATAACAAGGGAAATGGGGTTCTTGGTCGCTTGATTGAAGATATTTATTAATAGAATAAACCAATAATTACCACTCTAAGTGAATGGGAGGCGATTGTTAAATGAACAATAAACAATATGTGCCGAAAGTACATTGATAATAAACAAGGTTCGAACCGAAACGCGCACAAGTCTGCGGTATTCACCACTCCGAGTGGAACGGACTTACGTGGGAGCGGTCGACGTTCCCTTGAAGGATTTTGAGGCGGTAGCAGGCTGCCACCACCCAACGGTTGTTCGGCGACGATGTTCTCAAGACCCAGAAATATTCGAACGTAAGGTGGCCTTCCACCTTACGTCAATTGATCGGACGTCGTCAACACTGCAGCGCAACCGCTTCTCTTGCCTTCCTGCTACCCACTGCTTACCTCAGTCCACCTTAATTTCGCCGTCGTCCAGTACTTCCCCTCGCATCCCCACGGCCGTCCCATCGTGATTCGCACCGCTTTATATTTACCGCCACTCGCGCACTTTAGAGAACTTAAACTTAAATAAGAAACAAATAATAACAAAATAACATAATATGTATACGGTATGCTACAAAGACTAGATATTTGGTTTTAAATTGATATTTTATTTTTCCCAAACAAAAGGCCTCGATTTAACTAATGCAGTGGCGACCTAATTAACCGGAAATATTATTTGTTCATAGACAGTCATTGGCACGCCACCAACATGTGTATCCAAGTAAAAGGGCTTATTTTTGTACATTTATTGTGCCATAATAATAATTAATAGTGGACTGTATGAAGTTGTTGTCCTAACAAAGATAATTTGTAGTAATATGTATTTAATATTATTTACTTCTTCTAGGAATTTAAAATTTGGCAGTTATTTTCACCAAAATTTGCTTCCCTGCTGGCTATGGCCAACTAATATTATAGAGATTATCTTAGACAGAAAGAAGGGTAAATATTACAAAAGTTAAAATAAATCCCAAAGTTTTAAAAATAGGTATATGACATGCTTAACGTTGAAACTTAAGAAAATCGAGAGTTCTCAATTTAGAATAATTAAAAAATATTCGTTTATTTTCAACACCCTGCAGGATCCAACTCAATTTTCGTTGCATATATCTATTGCGTTATCCTCGAATAACAAATGGCGCTATCGTAATATTTTTGCAATCGTGAGAACTAATATTTTTTAGAATAATTCAAATATTGGGAAAATGGTTAGGTTCAGGTATGTATTATTATTAAAAGAGTTGGAATAATTTCAAAACTTATTTCAAAATTCAAAAATACGGTAAAAAGAAGCATTTGTATTTACCATTTTCTCATAACTTTTGAAACTAATGTGCAAGTTCCGATTTTTGTTATAAAACTTTCTGCAGCAATTCCTAAAAGACATTTTTAACGAAAATCAGACGATGTCGGATGCTAATATAACGAATTGTAAAACACACTTTCCCAAGATTACAAATTAATAAGGACGGAGCACAAGCTCGTTCAGAAACCGGCTGAATAATAAATATCGCTTTCTGGTAGGTGGTTCCAGAGTTCTATTCCGGAGCAGCCGTATACATTGTTCTACGACCCTAGCAACAGGTTTATCAAATCTACCGCTGGAATTAGGGTGGTGGAGCTACGAAGACAGTACGACGAGATGGTGCGCTTCAGCTGGACTTTCGAGGGGAAAGTTTTGAAATACTCTTTCCAAATTCCCGAACAGGCACTGGATGAAACTCTGGCTATCCTCTTCGTTGAAGACAAATACAGCAATATCTTTAAAAAAGCCGTTAATTTTGTCTAGTTAACCTTCAAATAAGTGTAGGACAATAATAAAGCCATTAGGATTTATTTTGATTTTTTAATTGCGCTATCACTGCCGTCAATTTCATTTCTGAGTTTCACTATTCTATAGTAGTTCGCTTGCTGATTGGCGGTGTACTTCAAAGCGCAGTATCCGCAGATCAACTCGATTGAGAGAAGTAGAAACATTACGCCTTGAGCCGCCACTTGTATGTAATAGATTTGGAGACGCGAATCGAACAGGAGGAACGCTTGAAGTGGAAACTGGATGAACGTCGAGAGCATCCAGAAACCCGCAAGTTCCGGTATCTGAAAAAATAAAAAAAAATGGCCTGTTTGGTTGATGAAGAACTTGCGATTTCTTTGTACTTCCTTGTACTGCCTTAAAAATTGCAAAATCATCGATTGCAACGCACTTTTATTATACTTAATGTCTTTAGATTAAAAATAGTTTATTAAATACCAAAAGCAATTAAGGTCCTTTTGAATAACGAAATTATCGGACCTTATTTCTTCGAACAAAATCTTAGTATATATATGTATATTTACAGTCTATTTAAATCGCAGTAACTTTCCCGAATCAAAATCAGCCTGGTGTATCAGCTACACAGATCTGATTTCAACGGGATGGTGCTCCGCCCCATTTTGCTCGACAACTGCGTGACTACTTAAATACAATATTGCCCGAAGAGTGGTTTGGTTGAAAGGATCAAGGATTTCTAGATATTAATAAACTGAATTTTTTCTTCTGGGGATATTTAGAATCAAAAGTGAATGCGAAAAAACCACAAAATTGAGATGTTTAAAACTTAGAATTAGGTTTTTAAACTGATTAGCATATTGTGAAGAAGTTAATTTACAAAACTTAATAAAATAAATTTTTGTAGCAGGCCTACAGATTTTTTCTCAATTTTACTCACTGTCGATCTTGTAACGGGAGTGTAACTCTGTACCTGCTTTTATATTGAGGGGCACACTGTCTCGGATGATATTATCATATTGGTGACAGGTCGCGGTTACGATTGTTAGGTTGCTTATAGATTTCTATAGACTCTCGGATTTTTCGTTGGTAGAAGAATTGATTACATGCAACAATTTTAGTTTTATTGAATAAATTTTATGTCTGTTTCGTGATTGTGTTCGGCAACTTCTGATGAGCTTATTTGTCTTAGTCTTAATGCTGTTTCATGTTCTTTGAGCCTAGTCGATATTTTTCGTACGGTCTCTCCAATGTATTCTTTGCCGAATATGCATGGAATGCTGTAAATTCCTGGCATCTCAAATCGGATTTTGTCTTTGACGGACCGAAGATGTTGAGAAATTTTTGTCTATATATATATATATATATATATATATATATATATATATATATATATATATATATATATATATATATATATATATATATATATATATATATATATATATATATATATATATATATATATATATATATATATATATATATATATATATATATATATATATATATATATATATATATATATAGACAAAAATGTCTCAACATCTTCGGTCCGTCAAAGACAAAATCCGATTTGAGATGCCAGGAATTTACAGCATTCCATGCATATTCGGCAAAGAATACATTGGATATATATATATATATATATATATATATATATATATATATATATATATATATATATATATATCCAATGTATTCTTTGCCGAATATGCATGGAATGCTGTAAATTCCTGGCATCTCAAATCGGATTTTGTCTTTGACGGACCGAAGATGTTGAGACATTTTTGTCTATATATATATATATATATATATATATATATATATATATATATATATATATATATATATATATATATATATATAGACAAAAATGTCTCAACATCTTCGGTCCGTCAAAGACAAAATCCGATTTGAGATGCCAGATATAATATATATATATATATATATATATATATATATATATATATATATATATATATATATATATATATATATATATATATATATATATATATATATATATATATATATATATATATATATATATATATATATATATATTTTATATTTCTTTAGAACTTTTGATATGTGGTCAGTGATGTTTTGAATATAAGGAAAGACAACAGTGGCAAGTGTGGGATTGCTTTCGTTTTCATTGCTATTGGTAGGTTGTGGTGAAGTGTATTTTTTGATGGAACGTAATGTGGAAATTAGAGAGAAGAGCAGAGGTAAGGTGTTTTCGGTGACTCGGGCTGAGATAGTTTTACCGCTCTGTAAACAAGAGAGTTGATAATCGATGATTTTTGGGCCGGATGGTGATGTGACCATGCATTAAGGTATCGGTCTGTATGCGTAGGTTATCTGTAAACACAATGACCCAATGTTAGGTCTGACTTTCTATTGATAAGAATATCTTATAATGGCAGGTTATTATTAGCTTCCAATTCAATTGTAAAACGTATGTTAGGGTGTATCGAGTTTAAATGTCTAAGAAAATCTACTAGGGATTCCTGACTATGAGGCCAAATAACAAAAGTAACATCGACGTTGCGTTTCCATAATTTTGGTATTAGATGGACGGTGTCGAGAGCTTCATTTTCAAAGGCTTCCATAAATATATTCGCGATGACTGGTGATAGTGACGAACCCGTAGCTGTTCCCAAAGATTCACAAACCAACATATTCTCTAGCAAAATAGCTAGCTTTCTTATTAAAACCCTTTGCAAGGAAAACTGACAGTTTCGTACTTAATTCCTTTGACTTCACTGAACAAATAAAAAGCATTACATTAGGTACACAAGATATTCTGGTTAGTTTCGATGTAGAATGTAGAATCCCTCTTTACTAAAGTCCAAATTCCTGAAACTCTCACCATCATTCCATATATATTAAAATCCAAGAATCTGAAACTAAACTTTTTCACCCTAATTAAAAAATGCTTGAATGAAACATATTTTTCTTATAGCGGTCAAATTTTTGAACAAACGTCGGGAACAGCTACGGGTTCGTCACTATCACGGAATATTGGTTCTTGAATGCCGCTAGATCAACAACAAACTTGAATTTTAATCGAGAAAAATTGGTCAGTCTTTCTATATTATTTATTACTAATTATTTAATTATTTATTATATTACTAACAAACGGCCTTCATATAGCCAGTAGGAAATGACTGGACGCAATTTTCTTTACAAAAATATGTGTGCTACTAAAAATACCCCTACCAGATAATTTAAAAAATGTCTTGTCAAAAACTGATAATTGTATGAACACCTTTTACGAAATTTTCTAATGCGCATTGCGAAACTTTGACTGTCGCAATGAAGAACAGGTTTTTTTAAATATAACTTTTACCTTATCTTTGAGATTTCCTTCATAGCACATGTACAATCTTAGCGGTTCCAACGTAAACGCTATCAGGATAACGGTCACAACTAGAAACTTGTAAATTTCGCTAAATTCTTCATACTGAAACAAAACAATTGAAACACAAATCCAATTTCCCAGTTGCCAATGTCTCACGTTGTTGTATAAAAGTATCATCATAATCACGGCCCAAATGGGAGCAAACACCACATTTAAATATGCTGCTATCTGTAGCGGTAAATTGGAATTAACTTCCCTGCCTGAAGCAAAGTAATAAGTAATGTTAGCATTGATAAAACACAGAATACATTTTGCCATATTCAAAAAAAAATATCCTTATTGCTTTGTTAAAGTTTTAGAAAAGGAAATGCTCAATACAGGTCCTTATTAGCAACGAGCCGTCTATTTTTTTCTCCTCGTATTCAAAACAATATGCATTGTAGTGTCATGGTTGACAGAATGTTTACACACGTTTATTATTTGTTTTAGAGAAAAATGTTAATAAACTACCTAAAATTATTTTGAAATATACAGGGTATGATCTGTTCATAGATATAAGAAAGTGACAAATCTTTTGAACGGATTATCCAAGGGTGGTCATTAACATACAATGCAACAAGATTATTGTTGTTAATTAAGGTAATTATTAAAAATTAATTATTAATTATTAATTAAGGTAATAATCGTGATGCACTGTATGTTAATGACGACCCTTGGATAATCCGTTCAATAGTGATTGGTCACTTTCTTATATCTATGAACAGGCCATACCCCCTGTATTTTAGTACTATACTCAATTACCCAATGTGGGGTTGTTATGGTCTATAGCGAGTGTTTTCGGATTTATGGCAATTTTTTCGTCAAAAATAGCCTGTATTCAACACTATATTCTTGAAGTCATTTCCGAAAGTTGTGATTTAATTATACCAAAATGACAGTCATTTATCCTATATTTATTTTGAGGTTAGTTCGAATTGTTTATACAGAGTCGGTCAAAATGGAAAATATTAATTTCCGCGAAAAAATCAATTATATCTCATTTAATTACTCCTATTAATATGCTTTAAATTTTATTAAGCATTCGCTATACCCAAATTTAGTATTTTTTGGGGTATATACATTTATACGAACAAAATACTGAAATTTTTCAAATCGTGCTAAAATATCACATAAGTTTGAGAAGTAAATAAATATTACCTGAACCCGAAAAGTTTACAGAAACGAATTAAGTCAGCTAATAGCATTCGTTACTTGTTTATACAAAATGTAATACGGAAATACTTGATTAAATCCGAAATTTAAAGAAAGATGAAATTATGAACTGCGCGATAGTATGTTTCACTTTATTTATTGCTCGAAATGTCTCCCACAGAATTCGATACACACTCTAACACAACCTTGCAATGATTGGGTAGTATTCGCTAGCGTTCCATGACTTCTCTTATCCTGTGTTTCATATCCTCGTTTGCTGTGGAAGCAGTTTTATACACCTCATCTTTAATAATTCCCCACAGAAAATAGTCCATGTCTACAAGATCAGGAGATCTAGGTGCCCAACTAATCGGACCACCTCTCCCTATCCACTGTTGAGGAAATAAATTATTTAAGTAATTCGTAACTTGATGGGCATAGTATCTAAGAGCTATAGGATGAGAGCTATAGCACTAAAAAGTTGTAAACTTGTCCATTCACAGTATTTTCAAAGAAATGGGGCTTTACAACGTTATTTTCTATTATACCACCCCTAACATTTAAAGACCACTAACAACACTAAAAGACGAGAACTGAAAACATTATTTATAGTTGAATAAAATTATCGACTTAAAAAAAAGGCAAAATTTCTAAATTAATGGCTTATTGGAATATTTTCTCATAATTCTACAAATTGTCGGAGTTTTGTTCATAAAAATGTGCATACCCCAAAAAATACTAAGTTAACGATGCTCAATAATAAAAAATTAATATTTTTAATTTTTTATTTTGACTCACCCTATATAAACGATTCGGACTAACTTGATAACAAGGATAAATAACTACTTTATAAAATTGTTGGCATAATAAAATCACAGCTGTCAGAAATGGCGTCAAAAATATAGCGTTGAACACAAGGCATTTTTTACGAAAAAATGGCCATAACTCCGCAAACACTGGGCATAGACCATAACAAGGATAAATAACTACTTTATAAAATTGTTGGCATAATAAAATCACAGCTGTCAGAAATGGCGTCAAAAATATAGCGTTGAACACAAGGCATTTTTTACGAAAAAATGGCCATAACTCCGCAAACACTGGGCATAGACCATAACAATCCTACATTGGGTGATTGAGTATAAAAGGAAGATTCTCCTAATGCAATAATATACAGAGTGTTCGATAAAAAAATTTTTACCCACTAAAAAAATGTTTTTCTAGTCTCGTTTATTACTTTTGTATTTGACATTTTTCTCTAAAACAAATGACAAATGACACTATTTGGATATAGTTATATAAGTGACTAAATTTATTTCCTGTTAAATATTTTTCTCTATATTTGGGGATAGAGAGGATTACTCTTACTAGATTTTAAACGATCACTTCTGAAAAATAACGGGTGACTTATGTTCCCTATGTGGGGGGTAAAATAAGTGTGAGGATTTCAGAAAGTATTATACCTCACCTCTAAGAGTTTCATTCATATGCAATAAGCAGCCCAATACATACAGTGAACGACTAAAATATAGAATAATAGTATATTATTCAACAAGTGTGGTAAACGGCATTTGAGTCACGAGTTTATTTGTCACCAGCAAAGCGAATGATCAACAAGCGAGTGACTTAAAAGTTTACCACATATGTTGCATACTATACTTTTTCTACTACCGTTAGTTATTGGATACATTTTTACAAAACAACACGATACATTCACTCACATAATTGTCAGAATTGACAAACGTCAAAATTCAAGCCATGCGGCAAAATCTCCGAAAATATACTATTGCTCCCAAACACCGGTAATATCCCTGAAATATTCGAAGGGGCTCGGATCCGTGGGACAAGAAAGTCACGCGATAAACTGATCTCCTCCGCACGCTAGATCGATGTATAATTAGGTATTTTACAGAAGGAAGTAGAAAATAGTATATTATGCAACAAGTCCGGTAAATGGCATTTGACGCACGAGTTTATTTGACACGAGCAGAACGCAGCGGAGCGAGTTTTTAATAAACGAGTAACTTAAAAAGTTTATCGAGCGTGTTGCATACTATACTTTTTCTTCTACCTTTGGTTTTACTAAACAAAATTATACTTTCTCTACGACCGTTAGTTTTTGGGTACATTTTCGCAAAACAACACTAATGCATTCACTGCTATGTTTAGGCATTATACAGACGGGAGTAGAAAAAATCATTTAAAAATCAAGTATTGGACTTGAGAAAAATACTCGCAACATCCATCTTAATATTTTTTGAGCATTTTTTTAAATCCATTTTAGAAATCTGCGTCAAATTTCAAGCATAATTATGTGGATATACGGAAATTTTATAGAAACAGGGCAAATCAAAGAAATTATTTTATTAGGCGTTGAAAATTCACACCGTTCCAAAATATTACCAGCATATTTTCATCAATTTGCCCTATTTCGTATCTAATTTAAAATTTTAAATCATCATTAAATTTCACCGTTTTTTCTGATACACTTTTTATTTTAAATATTTGCACTACCTACTATCCACTGTCCCGGAATTGGGAAAGAAACTGCAAACGTGGGAATTAAGTCATTTTGAAGACATTGTAAATATCGGGATGCAGTAAGATTTTAATGTAAGATGCAATAAATTTGTTATTCAAAATCCCTGCCGGAACATTATTTTTTTGTGGATGTTGTGTATGATATTCTCTCGTTCATCGGAGATTATTTGTACTCCAATCCCTACAATTTTGTTTATTTACGGTATCGTTTAAACAAAACGTCACTTCATCGCTAAACAGTATCTCAGGATGGAAAAATAGATTTAAGTAGCACAAACTATAGTTTGGGGTCAGGATAATCTTGGTTTAATTCCTGTAATCCTATCTTTTACGTATGCGTGAATTTTTCTTGAAATCCAATACCCCATTTTTAAATGAATTTGTTCCATGATATAGCCGGTCACTGTATACATAGTGTTTTCTAATTGAATAACAATAAGGCAGCGATTTTTGCGTTAATTTTAAAAAGAAAACTTAATATAAACATATATTCTAAACCACTCAACTTTTGAGATTGATAAAGCTAGGCGCTTTTCTAATAGAGTCATACTAGATAGGCGAACATTTTCAAATATACGTAGAAGGTTGACTGAAACAGGTACTTTTAGGGCAAGTAATCATTTAAAAGAGCCCATTGTTTTTAAAGTCTTCGATGAAAATCCTGAACTCAGTACTAGAAAAATTGGAAATAATCTGTAAGAAAAAAATTTTGCAGAAATGCAATCAGAAATTTCCATAAAATTTCCATAATAACCATATTTGGGTTCATGAAAACCGCCACGCAGTTGTCGAATTTAAACATCAAAAACAGTTTTTTTTAATCAGGAACAGAATGAGGTTCAAGCATGACGGCGCGCCAGCTGAATTTAGTGTTGCAGTAAGAGAATATAATAACAATATAACCGATGGGTAGGTTGGCCCCTTTGGACTTTTTCTTATTGGGGCATCTTAAAAGTCTGGTTTATCGCATATCATTTAACACTGTGGAAGAGCTGAATGATCGTATAAGAGCTTCCTAATATTTAATAAGAAACATTAGACGTAAAAGAATGCGCGGTGATATAAGGAAAAGAGCTGAAGCGTGTATCCTTCAAAGTAAAGGACATTTTCAACAACTTATTATTATTATTAATTTACTAACAGACAATGTTATTAACAATTATTAGTTTTCTTTTAAATTAAAAATCGTTTATTATTGATCGTGTTATGTTGTTACTATTGATCTTGTTATTTCATTTAAACTGTGAAAGTAAAAAGAACAGTTTTTTCTATTTTTTTTTTCTGAAGGACACCAGTTGGTCACTAAAAGCTAGATATTTTGTTTTAGACAGATATTTTTATTTATCACAATAAAAAATAAAAATTTTGAGAACTAATTATAATAGAATGAAAAGCAAAATCAGTAGAATTTTGTCAAAGGCTTATAAAACTCTATGCTCACAAACTGCCATGAAGTCATTAAACGAGGTCAAACAACTAAGCATTGTGTATTTAAATACGTTTGTTTGTAACTTAATCAGTTTATAACCACTCGATGTTGTATTGTGAATGTTGGTTGAAAGGTTCTATTTTTGTGGTCAGATATTTTTTATCAATTTTAATCATTTATTTGTAAAATATTTTATTAAAAAAATTTTTAGGCATCTTCTTATTTTTTCCATTACTAATTAGATGTTTGTGATAAAATTTATTTTCTAATTTACGTATGTTATGTTGAAATCGTTGGACTTCATTGACCACTACTGCGTACTTAATATGTCTCAGTTGCTATGTCGCTGTTATTATTAAAATTATAGAAAATTATTGAAAGTTAATTTTTGCATTTTTGCATGATGAATGAGAAGAGACAGTTATTATTAGTTTGTTCAGGGAATCAATAATTTAAAAGACAAGATCCATAACAACATTTTGTGTATTTATATCTATAGATTTTGAATTTGGAAAAGCACCTTGTATATTGTGTAATTCTGTACTAAAATTTTTATTACCCATTTTAACAATTTTTCATTTGACAAAATGGTATTGTGTGCAAAAACTTTTTAGGGTCCACGAATCATGACGCTTGGTCAAACAGTCTATAATATTTATCATTAAAGTACCAATAACACGTAAACAAAACAAAATTATATATATTTTTTCAAAATACAATTTTCATAAGCAGCTAGAAATTTGAAATATAAATTGGAAAAAAAAACAGTTTATAATTTCACGTCTACCGGTATTCCAGTTGACAATTGAACAGTTAAAATAGATATTACCATAAATATCGATATCCACATTATAGGATATACCGGCAAATACGTTTTCTGACAAGCCAGTCACTTTTTCTTTCCAATCCATAGTATCGTCGACACTAAAGCACTCTGTAATAAGTAACCTCAATAAAAATATAATTTACTAGAGCTATCTGCACCTTTTGTTGGTATCGTATGTGCTAGTTGCTTAGCAACATAAATTTATTTCACCCAGGTCACGGATGTACGCGGTTGATTAAGGTACAGACTACAGATTTATTTTATTTATTAGCGATTTTACATGTTACTATCCAAAATAGGAATCCGAAAGATTAACTCAATTAATTCAAAAAGTAATAGACGGCACCAGTTTGGGCATTTCCGGGTTATTATCACAACTTAAGAATAAATTGGCAACGAATTCTTATTCAAGAGTACTTAGAACCCAGCTATACTAATTTTTATAATGTACTACTACTACTACTACAGGGTGTTTGAAATATAGTATGCGCCCCGCTTAAGGCTGTACATCATTGTAAAATCTTTAATTACAATTTGATTTTAATTTAATACAAGTTCTATTTCTATAAGTATAAGTAATTAATGTTAAAAAAACTTAGAATAGGATGTTATATAGGTTTAGTTAGATTTAAAATAAAACACAAGTTGTCGTAGAAAATTGGCCATAACTTCTAAACTACCAATTTTTATAATAAATGCTATATATATGCAATAATGAATGAAACATATTAGTAGTATTATCAATACATAATCAAAAGCAAATAGCTTATCACCTAAGTGACCACTTTGCCACAGAGCTGACCAATGAAAGTGAGAAAGTATATTGGATTTAAAAAAAAACTCAGAGCGAGGCGTGATGAGGTTACCGTCAAAGACGTATTTAAATGATGATGTGATGTTTCTGCCATGGATGAGTCCTGGAATTGCAATTATGATACTGTTAATAACTTATTTCAATCACTTCCATTAAAGTTAAAAGACGATGACGATTCGCGATCTGTTAGACTGGATATATTAATATACAAATCTTTGAGAAAGAGCAGCAGTTTGTTGCTATCTAGATTTAAAAAACTTAGGCGTCAAATCAAAACTCAAACAGTGAAAGTATATTGAGAGTGCTTAAACAATATTGAATTGACTATACGAGGTGATCCATCAAAATTTTGGTCATACATTCAACCGAAGAGAAATAGCTCCAGGATCCCAGACTTGATTTCTTATGACGGTGAAAATTTTTAAGAAATCCCAAGCCATAGTAAATGCGTTTTGTAGATATTTCAATTCGGTCAATTTATCAAAGTTACGACCTCTTCTTTTTGTCATCTTTATTGATGGTCTAATTAGTATATATCATAATAGTGTCTGATTAATCGATTAGGTTTAATTTTTTTTAAGTGTAACATGCTTAATTACTCTAGAAAGCTGAACATAAATATATTTAATTACGTAATAAATGTAATATGCAGTAAATTATATGATACTATTTAAAAATCTACTGCACGATGAATTCTATAGAAAATTGTTTGTTGTTTCAGGATAACATTAATTTCATATCAGGATGCTGTCTGGTTAATCGATTAGGTTTAAATTTTTCTAAGTGCAACATGCTTACTTACCCTGGAAAGCTGAGCATAAATATATTTAACTACGTAATAAATAGAACTGCATGGAATCGATTAAATAAAGTTACAGACTTGGGAATTGTCGATCCCAGACTTATTTTTATACCTCATATTGAGCAATTAGTATTAATGTATCAACAATACAACAACTACCCTGTATTATTCTTACGTGAGATCTATTTTATTTCAATATTTCAATGTCATACTGATGGCTTGGGGTTAATCCAGAGACGTTTCCTTAAATACTCAGTTATTAAGGTAGATAATATACATCCTCACAGAGTATTTAACCATCAAGTACTATTCCGCAGGTTAGGGTTAGGAGGGATATTAATTCTTTGAAATTTCTGGATGGGCTCTTGCCTGGTACGGTGAAATCTGAGTGACTCTTAAGCAAAGTAAAGTTTGACTCCCCAGAATTGAAGCCAGATTTAGGCCTACATTCCATCTCCCTACACCTAGGACAAATGTTTTATATGGGTGGCCAATTTATGTTTTTTATGGTAACTTCAACATTGTTTCAGACATATATGACATTCATGCGGATTCGCTTCGTGAGAATGTTGCCTGTATTTTTGGTTCGTGCGCAGAGCTTATGACTGCTTAGAGCACGTATGTGAGTAATTAGCTTAGCTTGTTGTTTGCGGTATATTTTCATTATTTTTCGCTTATTTATATATTTTCTGTAATTGGGTGTAAACCCGTTGAAATATATATATATATATATATATATATATATATATATATATATATATATATATATATATATATATATATATATATATTCTCACGTATTGATTCACGGATGGAAAAATGTGATGACACTATATTCCGGGATATCATCCGTTCGCTCGTTGAACTCCGACTGGAATCCTGCAGACGTTTCGCCAAAATCTCACTTGGCATCTTCAATGCTCGCGCTCCGAAAACAGTGTGTTCGAAGTGTTTTCGGAGCGCGAGCATTGAAGATGCCAAGTGAGATTTTGGCGAAACGTCTGCAGGATTCCAGTCGGATGCAGGATTTGCAGGATTCCAGTCGGATGCAGGATTCCAGTCGGAGTTCAACGAGCGAACGGATGATATCCCGGAATATAGTGTCATCATATATATATATATATATATATATATATATATATATATATATATATATATATATATATATATATATATATATATATATATATATATATATATATATATATATATATATATATGCATGTACCAAATTTCCTACAGCTTTAATTGAGTATTACGCAAATAGTGTCAAATTTCTAATATAAAAGCATTCCGCTCACCCAATCGATCGCATCTAAACCTCTATCCTCAAAAAATTTGTTGCAGGCCCAGAAACAACCAGAGTCGCAAAATGACTTGTACTTATCTCCTCCGTCTTTTTTGTAAGATATCGCAGATGGGTGGCTGGTTTTAATGATACAGTGAGTCGGATTTCGGATGAATTTCGTTTTTTCATGGGCGCGGGTTCCGAACAATAGGAAAACTATGCCGTCACATTCGCGAGCTAGCCAGGAGATGATTTCATCGGTTATCTCTACCCAGCCTATAGACTTGTGACTCTTCTTACTTCCTACTGTTAGAATCGAGTTTAAAAGTAGTACGCCCTGTCGAGCTAGATGCTCGAGTTCGGTGCTTACCACTCCTCTCTCGATTCGGTTTGCATCATGAGGTCTGTGGAATTGCTTAAAAATTTCTTTAATTATATTCCTGAGGGACCCGGGAATCAATCCGATAGTGTCGGAGCAGGAGAAACTTAGACCGTCAGCCATATTTGGCTTTGGATACGGATCTTGGCCGAGAATAACCACTTTGGTTTCTGTGGGTAGGAAGTATTTAAAGCACCTGAATACGTTCTCAAGGGATGGACGCACCGTCAATTCTTTACTTAAATTTTCGTACACTAATTTTAAGTCCTGCTCTGCAAATATTTCTCTCCAATCTTCCGGAATGTAACTTCGAAATTCATAGAAAGTAATATCCATGTTTGCGAACGTACTAAAATTCGTAAAAGAAAAACATTTTATATTAGGTTAATTAGGTTATCGACAAATTCTACAGTTACCTCGTATAAATAAGTTGTTCAATTCTATTTGTTCCTGCTTCTATGGAGAATGTTGCGTAGATCAGCATCGACAGACTACTTATAAACTGCATTAAAATGCATTGGTTTAAAATCTTATCTCGCGAAATAAGTTGCGCAGTGTTGCATCATCGATATAAGCACAATCTAGTAATAATTTGTTGGACCACGAGCTATTTGTACCTTTCTCAACAAAACTTACAATGTGCTCCGGTTAAGAGGGGCCTATATCTTATCTGGAAACCTACTGCGGTTACAAAAAAAATTTAAATACAAAAGTTGTTTCTATTAAAATGACTTTTTATTGCATTTTTGGATAGTCTTTTCAAAGAAAAATTCAACTATGTATATGAGTGTGGGTCTGTATGGGTTTCGATCTTATTAGCGATCATCTTCAGAACATCATTGTTGGGTTGCTTATTAACTTTTTAAACTTTTTACGGTCTATTATTTTTACGAAAATAATACTTTTTTTAGGCAATGATCAGATTTAAAAAATTTATTTAAAATATGCCATGTGGTGCCATGTTTCGCAAAATGATACTTTTCTCAATTTTCTTAAATGAGGCTGTATATTATTGGATTTTCGAATAGCCACTTTAATAGCAATTAATTATATAACATAGTACGCGTCCATACTATTAACCTGTTTCATTTGTTTTATCTTGAAAAAACCCCACTGTTTTTTGACAATATGGTCTGCACTTACCCACTGATTTCTAAAATGCCGATTTTTTAGTGTTAGTATTGACTTGGCTTTTCAGTTTTTTAAATTCATTTTCTATGATAGGTTACCAGGATTTTTAACTCTGGGCTTATTTTTTTCTATTTATCTAATTACTGTTTTCATGAACTTTATATATTTTATATATTATAGTGTTTCGGTTTTCATAAGTTTTTGTTCAAATCTGTCAACTTTTTTATGATCTATTTTTTTTATTTATTCTTAATATTGCCTTCTATAGTGATTGATAATCCAATGTGATCTGAAAATTTAAAATCCCTCAGACACAACGTGGTCGATAATGCTTCGAAAGAGGCGTCACTCTGGTTGCTGCAAATTCAGTTATATTATTATGAATTTTACAATTATTCATTATATTATATTATATTATAGTTAGTTTTCTCACTAATGATGTCTGAAACTTTGTTTGGAAAAGATAAACAATAAACAACAATTATTTGTATTTTTTAATTATCTTTCCCTAACATATATTGAAACTCCTATTCGCTCCTCTTCTATCACGACAAGAATGAACCCCAACTTAATTTCTTTTGGCCAAATTTTGTTAATAAAAGTAAATCATACTCGTCTATCAGATTTTTTTTTTTCACTTAACAATATTATCTATATTTTTATTAATACTATCGTTATCACTAAAAACATTAAAAAAGTATTTTTCGTCAGTTTCCATACATTTTCGCCTGCTTTGCGAATTATTCATGTGTCGTGTCGTGTCGTGTTAATGTGGGTCCGTATTTCGAGGCGTTTTTAGGCAGTTGTAAAGACATTTCTAATACTTTATTATATGTCAAACTTCTTGGTTTTACTTAAGTTGTTGAGTGAAACAATTTGTTCGGTAGTTGGGTCTAAGTTGGTGTAATAACAGCGTAATTTAAAAATAGTTGCTCAAATATATGCTATAAGCAAGAATGTCATGTGCCAAGTCTGCAACAACGACTTTCGTTTAAAATGTGTTACCAGTCGCTTTACTGGATTTAGGTAATGATTTAGGGTTAAGATCGAGATGTAAATATTGCGTCAGCACTGATGGAACCTCCAAGCAATTGCAAGAGCGGATCTTACAGTAGACCAAACCTTAATCATAGATTCCGTAGTATTTTTCTCAGGTAAAATTATCAAACTCTTGACTGGAACCTTCGGCATTGTACTAACACACAATAACGCGTTTTACCACAAACCGAAACTCGTAAAAATGAGACCTGCGGCCCTGAAGACTCTATTATTATTGTATATACAAGTGGACTTGATAGAGTCTTCAGGGCCGCAGGTCTTCGAAGTGTCCATCAGTCCGGATCAAAAAAATATTTTGGGTAATCCCAAGGATAAACTAGATACCCTTGAAAAGTCGAGAATTTATAAAATATATTGTAACGATTGTGACCAGTCATATGTAGGTCAAACCAAAAAATCAATTAATGTTAGATTTAAGGAACATTTAGCCCATTTAAAATTTGCTAGATTAGAAAAATGAAGTGTAGCCGAACATATGTTCAACAATAATCATAAGGTAGATATTAGTAATTTAAAATTAGTTAAACATGTAAATAATAGTAGGAAATTAGATGCCTACGAAAGTTTAGAAATTGTTAAGAGAGGGAATAAGGCACTGAACAAGGACAGAGGTCCAATCCCATTTAGCCCATTATACGCGCTGATTGGTTGCGTGAACAGTGCGTAATTCCCCTTCCACTTCCCGATATGTATATATATATATATATATATAGAACATTTGTTCTATTAAGTTTAGTTTTAATCTTCTCCTGATGATGCCAACTTGGTTGGCGAAACGCGCGTCGAGTATGTAAAATTGAGTTTCGGTTTGTGGTAAAACGCGTTATTGTGTGTCAGGTAAAATTGATGATTGAAAATGGAGTTGATCAAGAAAGTTTCTCAGAACGTTAGCAGCCTAAAATAAGAGTTAACTACAGTAAAAATGAATGTACCTCCCTCAGATTCGAATTCGAATGGGCTAAACAACAAGGTCGAGACGGAAATCTGGAGGTATGTAGAATTCCGGAAAAGAAGGCAAAAAATGTTATGGAGATTATTAAAAAAGTCGAGAGGTCGTGGGCGTCACAATAAAATACGCTAATGTTGTTGCTTGTCTCCGTGTGACTCAATTCTCTGGCTCAACATCGTCAGTAATGCCGAAAAATATTGTAATTAAATTTGGAACACTGGCAAAGAAAACCGAAGTTGCCAAGGCTGTTAAAAGGCTTCTCGTATGAAAAAACTCAACACATCTACATTTGGTTTCTCTGAAATAAAATAATCCATGTCAACGTCGTTAAAAACATCAACTACAAATTTTGCTGGATACAAGCTATGACAGTTTTCATCAGGGAAGAAAGTTCAAGTATGCGTTTCACAAAAAAATGTTGGGCTCGACTGCTAGGATCATTCGCCCATTGCCGACTTCCGTCGAGGATCTTCGCTTTTGGTCATTGACCAACACGTACAAAGAAGACATATAACCAATATTTGCTCAACTAGCAAAAAAACAAATTTTGACCGATACCAAAAAAAACCGACACCCCCCGCTTCCACCGCGGACCATCCGGGCCCATCCAGCCTCCATACCGGCGTGAACGGGGAAAAACGACGGGGCCGCCGACGATTATAACTTTAAAACATGCACTGAACACTAACAACACTAAGTCCACACAGTGGAAACCGATATCAAACTTTTGAGGACGAATACAAGGGATTCTGTCGGGAGCGAACGGAGGTTAAACCGCCGCGTGCAATGCTCCACCACAGAATCCCATCAGGGAAGAAGAAGGCTAAAATAACTTTCTTCCTTATATGGTTATAATGTAATTTGCTTTTTTCTTTTTCAATGGTGCCTCATGATAAAAATCACTAACTGAATTTCAAGAAAAACGTTCGTAAACGCCCATCATAATTCTCTTGCGCATTTTTGCAATAAACAGGACATAAAAAGAAAATATCGAGATCAGGATCCTTTTTTAAATGGAACACCATTTTCTATAATCCATTTTCGAATTAATTAATTGCGAACATTTTCAATACCTAATAAAATAATTTCTTTTACAGGCCCTGCTGTTTGATCGTGTAATGGGTTTTTCTGAATATTTTACGTTTAACACATTACAAAATTTCTTCTTGCGTTTCCGAATAAAAATCAAAATTTCAATTCTCTGTTTCAATTGTGACAAATTAAGAATTTGCGGGCACAAAAGTTGTATAGTGTTTGCAGTATTATCTTTTATTATTGTAAAAGAAAACAAATGCGCATCGCAAAGTGGAGGAACAGTAGCAAGTTTTTTTATTTTTAAATGGAACACTCTATACGACGAAAGATCATTTTCTTCTTATTTCAAAAATATGTAGATTGTTGATATTTGGCTAAGCCGTTCTTGAATTGTTTAAGTTTAAATTTTTGATTAACTAAACAGATGTTGATCAAATTGTGTGACATAATGAGTCACTTTGCGTTAAATCATTCGTCAGCTGACACAATCAAACGCATTACCGGCAACTTAAGGAAACTAAATTATCAGTGCAAAAAAGAGAACGGTTGTTAGAAATGAAGATGGCGACTTGAATATTTTGCTCTCTTTTGAAGACAGCTAGACTTTTATGAATAATAATTAATAATGAAAATGAAAAAATGTCCAGGCATACAAAAGAGGAACTCATTTTTTGGAAAAAATAAGCATTATTGGGCAAATAAAAACCCACAAAAAATTCAACCAGTAAAAATCCAGGGTCGTAGATCAGTTTCTGTGTGATGTGGCGTGGTGGCCAACCAAATAATCTGACTGATTTTTCGTGATGGATTCTGACGGGCAATCGATATAGGGATTTAATTCAAAATAGCCTTGAAAATTATTTGAAAGGCCTTTCAATTCGAAAATACGTTAATCTGGTTTGGCAATACCAATTTTACTGAATACCTAATTGGCAGATCATTGGATAGGCAGACATGGCACAATTCGGTGGCCGACTAATAGCCTTAATTTAAACCCTATTGATATTTTCCTATGGGGATTTTCAACAAACCGAGTATACATTGAAAGACCGCAGGATATAACAGTGTTAAGCCAAAGAGTTTAATAAGAATTATTCATGCTAAATGGAGATCATCCAGACTTTATCTTGATTGCGATTTACCATAAAACTTCCTCTAAGGTAAGCTGTTGAGACTGGATTGGTCACCTGTTTGTGATGTTTCTGATACGAATTGTTTTTATTAATAACTTATTATTTTATTAATAACTTATTTCAATCATTCGTTCCATTTAAAGTTAAAAAACGCCGATGATTCCCGGTGTGGAATACTGGAGATGTTATTATACAAATCTTTGAGAAAGAGAAACTTTTTCGTGCTTGTAAGAATCAAGGCCGCCCTTTGTTGCTAAGTAGATTTAAAACATTTAGGGGTCAAATCAAAACTCAAACAGTGAAAGCATATAGGGAGTACTTAAAAATTAATTAA